GTGATATTTAAAGCATTTAATGTTGTAATTAATAAATTTACTGCATATTATAGTTTATTAAGCTATTATATATTGAGATTTAGGTTTATAGTATAAGATTATTAGGTTGTACTAGCTCTTAAGTTATTATATATATAATAACATAGAAGTATTCAACTAGGTTTAGGAGATCAAAAGGAAAAGAGAGAGACCAAGTTGTGAGAGAGAGAGAGAGAAATCAAAGAAGACAAAGAAATGGGCGGCAGCAAAGAAAAAAGAGGAGAGGGAAGAAAAGGAAATATTAGAGTTTTGTTTTGGTGACTCAAGTAGTTTCTAAATATTCTTTGATCTTCAATAAAGTATTGTGAGTACAAAACCCACTTTCCTTTATTTATGTTTAATTCGTTGTTTTTATTTATCTAATGTTAGTTTGATTTTGTATTTACATAAAGATGATATATTGATTTTAATTATTCTGATTAGTGGTGTATGTAAAGTTTAGGGTTTTTAGATAATTGATTGATTTTAATTACTTTGATTAGTTGTGTACGTAAAGTTTAGGTTTTTCAGATGATTGATTAATTTTAATTATTTTGTTTAGTTGTGTATGTAAGGTTTAGGGTTTATAGATGATAGATTGATTTTAATTATTTTGATTAGTTGTTTATGTAAGGTTTAGGATTTTTAAATGATTGATTGATTTTAATTATTTTGATTAGTGGTATATGCAAGGTTAAGGGTTTTTATATGGATTGATTTTATGATTGTAATCACACTCATGATTATATAAAATTAAAATAAACTTAGAATCCATAGATATTTGTTAGAGGATGGATTGATTCGTTATTTTTATTTATTTATTTTTATTTGATGTTGGATTGGTTTTGTATTTGCATGTAGATAATGGATTGATTTTAATTATTTTGATTAGTTGTGTATGCCATGTTTAGGATTTTTATATGGATTTATTTTATGGTTGTAATTACACTCATGGTCATATGAAATTAAAATTAATTAAGAACCTATAGATAAATTCCTTATACTCCACCATGATTCCATGGATTGTTGTTTTATTTGAGTGATGGTGAGAAAGAGTGTATAAAAAATGTGAAAATTATGAGATTTATTTGAATGCCTTATGCTCGGCATTGTTATGTTTATTCTCATGTGTGAGATGTTGTGTATATATATATTGTTGCCTCGTTCTCATGAGTAGACGAGTGCTTTGATTTGTGCGCGTACGTATATGCTAACCATCCGGGGATATCCCCGTGCAAGTTTGGCTTCGGAGCGGTGTTAGGTATACGGGAGGCACATGGGATATATGTGTAGGCCGGAAGGGGAGGGCCGAAGTGGTGGAGTTAAGGTACAAAAATTTAATTATGAGTTTATTGATTTGTACATCTTGAAAAATAGTAATCGACCTCAATAAATTATGAAATTTAAGCAGAGGCGTGTATACATGATTTTGGACAACTTTTGTGTTGTAACCTTTTATTAAAAAGATCGATTAGAACTTATAATTGGATGACCTTGGTTATTGTCGGTTTGATTCATTTTGGTAATGCAGATTTTATAGGCTGTTTTAACCCACGAAACGAGCTCATTTTTATTGGTTTCGCAAAAATGAAGTAAAACATTATTCTGCACATTTTTCATGTTTTGAACTTTTTCGAAAAAAATCATCTTAGAGCAGTTTTTGTTCGTTTTCAGCTTTCAAATTTTTCGATTGAATTCCATCGAGATTTTTAGATCAAGGTTTTCTCTTAACCTGTTCAGTTTCAGTTAAATTCGTTCGCAAAGTATTTTAGAAAATTTCATTCTGTACAACTTTCGTTCTTTGAATTTTGGTCAATTCAAATTATTTAAACAGGAAAAGGTGCATTTTTATACTTATTCAGCGAGTTACTTATGATTAAATTATACTGATTTTATTTTTTTGTAGGATGGTGGGTCTTACTAACTTTTTATGCAAGGCTGACCTACCATATTTTTATTTCTATTTTGTCTATTTTATAATCAATTTATATTTAATGGTGTACGGACAAGAAACTAAATGTCGCCGTATCTCAAGAAACTACCCATTCGTCTCGGTACGGTTGGAACTACTTGTCTTGTTCCGTAACAAGAAATAATGTACTATTTGTTTGTGTCTAGTGGACACGTGGGTGTCAATTCTTGTACTCATACCAGTATACCTGTATACTGACCCGTTTTGTCTCTTGACAACTCGGGTGCGTTCTGTTTGAGCGCAGCTAAGCTTCATTTGCAGGATTAGTTGGGGCTACGGTGGTGACGTGGATTTACGATAGTGTTGGACCTGCCGTTTGGACTTCTTTTGTTTTATTGAGCTTAGGATTGATATTAGTCTATGTATTTATTATTCTCTTTATGACTTTAGTATTGGAATAATTTAGAATGGTTTGTAACCGTACTTTATTTAAGTTGTTTTGACTAGTTGTTGACACTTAATGTTAAGGTATTTGTTAGTAATGAGATTATGGTGGATGGTTTAGTTGGCGTTTTAGTTTTTTGTTTCACCCCTAGGACTTGGATGATGGAATATTGATTGGGGTTTAGTCCTAATTTAATATTTAATTGTCCAAATTTTGGGGCGTGACAGAACCGATCCAGACCGTATATAAATAATCTATATTTATACTATGCACCCTCCCATATAATATCATTTCTTATTCCATATAAAATATAAACCCTAACCCCTGTTTGAATGTATCACATGCCTCTTATTCCATATAATTCCATTAGGGATGGAAATTTGAAACCGGCCCGATGGGAACCCGACCCCCCGATCCCGAATATAACGGTTATTCCCTGAAAAATACCCCCGACGAGCCGGGGATGGTGATAAAAAAAAAAATCCCCGATAATTTTCGGGCCAGGGACGGGGATACATGTTTCAGTCCCAGCCCGGCCCCGAGGCCCGGCCCGAGCACGCCCCGATAAATCCCCGTGTGTATATAGATATATATGTCTCAGTCCTGTGTGTATATAGATATATATGTTTAGAAATTAGTGGCTAGGTTATTATTTTATCTCAACCACTCTCTCTCTCTCTCTCTCTCTCTCTCTCTCTCTCATTCTTCTCCCCCCTCTACTCTCTGTGTGACTCTCTGTGTGGCTGAGAGATGAGAAAGAAGCGAAGGTCCAACCCTCCGTTCCGTCGCCTCCTCCCCTCCTCGCCTTCACCACCGTCCTTCCTCGCCTCTTCTCCTCCTCCCCGTAGTCCACTTCGCCCATCCGTGACTGCAACGTACACAGACTTCGATCTACCTCCGATCACAGACTTCGATCGACTTTCTGTGTTGATCTGCCACAGACTTCGATCACAGACTTCGATCTACCTCCGACCACAGACCACAGGCTTCGATCAGTTTCTACGGCGGTGGATCTACCTCCGATCTGTTTCTATGGGGGTAGATCTGCCTCCGATCTGCCTTCGATCTGTTGCTATGTTGATTTGTTGATGATATATATATATTTTTTGTATTTGATGTTGTATTTGATCTGTAAGTTGTACACTGTATTGTTGGTTTTTTTTTTTTTTTTTTTGGACGGGGAAGTTTCGGGATCGGGGAAACCCGATCCCCGTTAGGAGGCAGGGGTGGGGGCGGTGATAGGCTCCCCGTCGGGGATCGGGGTCAAGGACGGGGACATTTCTGCCATCGGGGATCGGGGACGGGGAGTGTGATCCCCGACCCCGACCCGCCCCGTTGCCATTCCTAAATTCCATATAAAATATAAACCCTAACCCCTAATTCAACGTATCACACACCTCTTATTCCATATAAAATATCCATATAAAATATAAACCCTAACCCCTAATTCAACGTATCACACACCTCTTATTCCATATAAAATATAAACCCTAACCCCTAATTCAACATATCACACACGCCTTTCATCTCTCTCTCTCTCTCTCTCTCTCTCTCGGTACTCACTCTCTATCCTCTCTTTCTCAGACTGAGTTCTCTCCCCTTGTTCTTGTGGTTTCATCTCAGATCGGTGAGCTCTCTCTCTCTTTCTCTCTCGGTGACACTGTTTGTTAGTTTCCATCTTATCTCAAAATGTAACCCATTAACATCTATATCATATGTATTTATTTTTTATTGACTTGATGTATTGATGATGGGTTTGATTTTATTTCTTTTGCTGCTGCTATTCAAAATTTTATCTATGTTTGTTTACTTATTTTCAGTTCTGTTGATTATATATATGCATATATTAATGGGTTTGATTTGATATTTTGTTTACTTATAGATATTGGTAATGTGTTCTGCATATATTGATGCATTTGATTTGATTTTTTATCTCTGTTTGGATACTTAGAATTTGTGGGAAGAGATGAAAGTTTGGAATTTTGTTAGATAAGATGAGATTTTGGTCAATTGGAGAAACTATTTTATGGGTTTTTGTTACTCTGATATATTGATGATGGGTTTGATTTTATTTATTTATTTATTTATTTTCTTCTGCTGTTATTCAAAATTTTATCTCTATTTGTTTGCTTAGAATTTGTGGAAAGGGAAATGAAATATTGGAATTTTGTTACATAAGATGACATTTTGGAGAATTGGTGAAACTATTTTAATGGGTTTTTGTTATTTTATATGTTGCTGTTTTTGTTGATCAGTTCAGACATGATGCTATTCTGCTGCTGCTACTGCTGTTGTGCTGCTGCTGCTGCTTTGCTTTTGTTTGTTTGTTGCTTCTGTATATGGAGTTTTGTTTCTTTTGTACCCTCCATCGCCAAACCAACAAAAAATCAAACCCTAGATAGAGGAGAGCCTCCCATGGTTCCCCAAACTCCGACCTCCCAGACCATGAAGTCTCTCTCGATTTCGTCTCCCGATCAAGTCTCCGCCTCCAATTCCTCAAATTTCACATCCGAGTAAGTCCCTATACTTGTGTGTGTGTGTATATATATATTTATGTTTGTTTTGTATAATTGAATGTGTAGAGGTGTGTGTGTGATTGTGAAATTAAAAGTTCAATTGGTGAATTGTTTGTGATAGGGTGATGAGTGTTGAAGAGAAGTTTAGGATCGTGAGGAGTGTTGGGGAAGAGTGTATTCAAGAGGATGAGTTGCTAAACCTTCTCACCAAGAAGCCCGAACCTGTTTGCTACGATGGGTTTGAACCCTCCGGTCGAATGCACATTGCCCAGGTCTGTTCTTCAGAAATTTATCAAAATGCACTTACCTTTTCGAAGATTTGTGATTTTCACAAGTTATACTGTAATCTGAAGCTCATTTTTTATTGTGTAGTTCATGTGTAGCTAACCACTTTGTCCTTAGAAAGTTCTTGTTTTTTTATTTTTTTTTTGTGGGTTAAATCTTCAACTTATTGACAAGATCATTGAACTAAACTGGTTTAAAATTATTTGAGTGGTAGTGCATCAATTTTCTTAATCCTAGGTTTTTCTCGGCAGTCTGTTGAACTGTGTATTTATTTGTTGACTAGTGTTTAGAAAAGATTGATTGTTGTGGTAGTAAGTTTAAAATTTTATTTCAATTGTTGCTTTTCCAAACTGTGGTAACAAGTTTCGTTGATTGGGTGTGATCTCATTTTCATTTTATTTTTGAACAGGGAGAGAGAGGAGAGCCTCCCATGGATCCCCAGACTCCGACCTCCCAGACCATGGAATCTCTCTCGATTTCGTCTCCCGATCAAGTCTCCACCTCCAATTCCTCAAATTCCACATCCGAGTAAGTCCCTATACTTGTGTGTGTGTATATATATATATCTATGTTTGTTTTGTATAATAGAATGTGTAGAGGTGTGTGTGTGATTGTGAAATTGAAAGTTCAATTGGTGAATTGTTTGTGATAGGGTGATGAGTGTTGAAGAGAAGTTTAAGATCGTGAGAAGTGTTGGGGAAGAGTGTATTCAAGAGAATGAGTTGCTAAACCTTCTCACCAAGAAGCCCAAACCTGTTTGCTACGATGGGTTTGAACCCTCCGGTCGAATGCACACTGCCCAGGTCTGTTCTTCAGAAATTTATCAAAATGCACTTACCTTTTCGAAGATTTGTGATTTTCACAAGTTATACTGTAATTTGAAGCTCATTTTTTACTGTGTAGTTCATGTGTAGCTAACCACTTTGTCCTTAGAAAGTTCTTGTTTTTTTATTTTTTTTTATGGGTTAAATCTTCAACTTATTGACAAGATCATTGAACTAAACTGGTTTAAAATTATTTGAGTGGTAGTGCATCAATTTTCTTAATCCTAGGTTTTTCTCAGCAGTCTGTTGAACTGTGTATTTATTTGTTGACTAGTGTTTAGAAAAGATTGATTGTTGTGGTAGTAAGTTTAAAATTTTATTTCAATTGTTGCTTTTCCAAACTGTGGTAACAAGTTTCGTTGATTGGGTGTGATCTCATTTTCATTTTATTTTTGAACAGGGTATTATGAAGATTATTAGTGTCAACAAATTGACTTCCGCTGGTTTCAAAGTAAAGATTTGGATTGCAGATTGGTTTGCATTTTTGAACAACAAAATGGGTGGTGATTTAAAAAGAATTCAAACTGTTGGACAGTACATGATTGAGATTTGGAAAGCTGTAGGGTTAAATCTCCAAGGAGATAAAGTGGAATTTTTATGGTCATCGGAAGAAATTAACCTCCGAGCACATGAGTACTGGCCTCTTGTAATGGACATTGCAAGAAAGAACACGCTTCCTAGGTTAACGAGGTAGATTTCAAATTGGAATTACTCTCATGGATAGGGATTCAATCTAGCACAACTAAACATTAGATCCTTTGCAGGTGTGTCCAGATTATGGGTCGCAGTGAGCAGGATGAGTTAATGGGAGCAGAAATTTTCTACCCATGCATGCAATGTACTGATATATTTTTCCTTAAGTACCTTCACTTCTTATGGATCGTGTGTTTATTTACTTTGGGCTGCTGATTCAAGCACTTTTCAGTACCGAAGTTTTAAAAGTCATTATTGAGCCTGGCCTCAATTACTCTTCAAAGGCTTGTGCATCACAGTTTGGTGTGTGAACGTCAAGTGCGCCTTGTACGTCTTTTGCTTATAAACATTGGAGAAATATGCATATGGAGAGCTTGCCTTGGACTATTGCTAAACTTAGTGTATACATGTTTAAACATAACAAGAATAACCTCTTTTGTAACAATACCCCATGAGAAAAATCAAGTAAATGATCAGCAAAAAGAAAAAGGCACTAAGCTAAGGTTTGAGTGAGAAGTTGAATAATTTCACCTTCAATGATAGCAAGCTTCTTTCTTTGCTGTTAAATGTTCGACAACTCGGTGAGAAGAGTATGTATTTATACATTTATATTTAATTTTTAACTTTTTTACTACTTTAAAATATTCTATTTATTTGCGAAACTAAATATAAAAACTTTAGAATTTGAGATGCTTATTCCTCACAAGGGGTAAAACACTTCATTTTACGCAATTGCCTTCAAAAACTTTGTTTAATATTTAAATTTGGCTATGGAAGAAATCCAACCAACCTCGTGCCCCTATCCCATTCACCTCTTCTTCTCAACTAGCTACCCATGGTTGCAAGATCTGTGTTCACCTCATTCAATTGTACAATCTTGTAGGACTCAAGGAGTGATAATGTTTTAATTCTATTAAAATGTTCTTATGCTGAGGTGATTGTAATGACATCTTCGTCAACTCACATTGTGGTATATGGTTGTATTCTTCTTGGATGCCTAGGTTTTGTCATCTTTGCAGGTAAGCGATATAGTTTTTTTTTTTTCTATTGTAATGCAATTGGTAAGGGAGACCGGGAGTGGATTACAAAGAGAATAGTAATTACTCCTTCCGTCGCAAAATATTAGTCCCTTATTTCATATTTCATTGTCGCAAAATATTAGTCCATTTTAAAAAATCAAGGAATAAAATAATATGAATTTTCTATTTTGCCCTTCTTTTAAATCCATTAATAACACAAGAAGTACAATTATGACAACTGATATTCTCAAAAATATACTATCAAAAGGTAATTTTGAAAGATTAATATTTTTTAAATATAATAATTGTACTATCAAAAAAAGTTGGATTCTCCAAAAGAGACCATGATTTTGGAACAGAGGGAGTAACTTGTTTAGGGCTTGTTGCAAAAAGATTGGAGCGAGACCAATAAGGAATAATTAATTTGTATCTTTGTTTTTGGGTTCACATGTGTGATTTGTTTCCTATGATTTCTTTTGAAGTAAGGAAAATAAAAGCTCTATTTTGGTAAGTTTTTATATGCATCTTGTGGTACTCGTATGAATGTGAACTCTCATTACTTCCATTAGCACGGGCTGTAGAGACAACTATAAACTTTCTTGCTAAAGTATCTGTATCATTGTAATTTACTTTGTAAGATACTCCGTTGGTTTAGTTGTACATATAAATAATAATTATCAATTGATCATAGATTTATAGGTGACTTTGATAGGTGTGTTGATTGAGCAATTTGATAATACAAATTAATAAACAATCTGTTAATCTCAATAGGCTGATATCTGTCAACTGGGCATGGATCAGCAGAAAGTGAATGTCCTTGCGAGAGAGTATTGTGATGACATTAAGAGGAAAAACAAGCCTATCATATTGTCTCACCGTATGCCCCTATAATGATTCTTCCTACTTTACTTGAGTTCATATTCCTCGTCATCAGATGTTAGTTTTTCTTGGTTACTGTGACATGCAGACATGCTTCCTGGTTTGCAGCAAAGGCAAGAGAAGATGTCAAAAAGTGATCCATCGTCTTCCATCTTTATGGAGGATGAAGAGGTATTATACTGTGCTACACAAAGGGAATGTTAAGGAGTCATATTTTTTTGCAGTATTTGTTAATGAATACTGAATTCAGTGTTGAACTGACCTGTAACTTAAAGCCTCATTTGGAATTTGACTTATTTTTACTTTTTGGTGCATGTTCATTGTATAAAAGTATTGTAACATGTAATTATTGGGGCAGGCTGAAGTAAATTTGAAGATAAAGAAGGCGTATTGCCCTCCGTTGGTAGTTGAAGGGAACCCATGCCTAGAATACCTTAAGGCCATGTTTGTTTGGGTGGACATGAGCTTGGGATGGGACTAATAGTCCAATAAAATTATTAATCCGATATTTGGTTAAACAATTGAAATACGAACTAATTATTTTAAACTTGACTATTAGTTAAGATAGGATACATAATCCAACAGATTCGTAGTCCCAGGACTATTAGTCATGGGAATGCTAATCCAGTCCGCCCAAACAAACATGGCCTAAATACATTATCTTCCCATGGTTTCATGAATTCAAAGTTGAACGTGGCCCTAACAATGGTGGTGAAAAGTGAGTTATCTTTGACTTCTGATGATATTGTCAACTATTCTTCTCTCTTTGATTTCATTCATATATTCATGCAAGTAGTCTATGATCCTATTTCAACATTGATACCACTGTCACTGCTTTCTGAGACTTACCTATCAAAGCATTGTAATTCTTTGAAATTGCCAGATTGTTGTGTTTGTCTGGTGTGTCATGATTCTATTTCTTCTCAAATCTCAACCATAATTGCTCTTTGTTGATGGTCTTGTCTTTGTATGTGTGTGCGCGTTTGAAATTCAGGACCTTCAACAATATTGAAGAACTAGTTGCAGACTTTGAAAGCGGGCAATTGCATCCTGGTGATCTGAAACCTGCTCTATCAAAAGCATTAAATAAAATATTGCAGGTTTTCTTTCTTCTCTGATCTGCTCTTTCCTCTCTGACTTGCGTTTCATATTGCCAGTTTTGGTGATTTGGTCGCTCTGGTTTTAGTCCTCAATTAAAAGTTAATCTTGAATCCATGATTTTTGTTGCTTTGTTTATTGTAGATCTTTTGTATCATTTCCAGATCTGGATTTGAAGTATTTGGGGTTGATTCACCCCTTCATACCTTTTTTCTACTCAATTGGCCCATCTCTTATCTATTTCCATTATTGTTTTGTAACCTATGTTACATAGACTTGGGTATGAGTGTCGGGTGTGGGTCTATATTTGATGTTGGACCTATCAAACCTCAAATTTAAGAGTATGCGGACTCGGCAAAAAATAGTCATATTTTTATATTTTTAATCAACTATGTGAGATTTAAAAATGCATTTGACACATTTTATAGCAATTATACAATAATACATACATATAATGTTAGTGTTAAATATAAATATATAAGAATTGTCCAATGAAGAGTATTGGACACGTTCCACACCTTTGTCTAAGTGTTGGTTGTCCGACATAGGTATTTGATTTATTTTGAAGAGTCCATGTAACATAGCTTGTAATCTTATGGAAAATCATGCATTTAATGTAATAATTGATTTGTTCGTTACCAATACCAACATTAAACAAGGAAGTTGGAAAATCATGCATTTGATGTGATAATTTATTTGTTTGTTACCAGCATTAAACAAGAAAGTAATAATACTCGCTAATACTCCCTGCATTTCTTTTGAAATCTTTCAAAGTATTCCTCTTGAAATAGGCATGGAAGTATACAACATCTATGGACTACAGTAATCATCCTCGATGAGTAGGCTGATTGTGGTTCTCTTGTATGTGCAAAAATCAAATTGCCAAATTGATTTGTGTCGTTGTGTCTTAGATTGTGAGGAATCAGTTTCCCTGGCCCGGAAATAAATGTCACCTGTTTCTGTAGAGATTGATCATGGTTTTTCTTATTCTAGTACACCGGGCAATGGCAGACTGCTTTTTGTCCATTTTATTATCATCGTTATGACTTAACATTCCTCGTACTCTGCAGCCTGTCCGTGATCATTTCAAGAATGATCCTGCTGCTAAGGAGCTATTGAAAAGGGTAAAGGTATGTGTGTGTTCTGTATCTTTGCCTTGTTAGTCCCCCAAATGTTTTTTTTCTTTATGAATTTTTTAATGAATTGTAAGGTTCATTTTTCAATTTTATTGAATTAAGAGTACAAGAACTCCCTATCCAAAAAAATAAAAGATTACAAGAACTCAAAACTTGGAACTTCATTCTTTTTGTAGTTTTTTTTTTTAATTATTTTATTTTGTAATCGTTTTGTTGCATTGATCTAATCAATGTTTTGTATTTTATTTTAAATGCAGGGTTACAAAGTCACGAGATGATGTGGCCATGAATACCGAACACATTTTTGTCGGAGGCTGTCTTGGATACTTGCTTGAAGCAGTACTTTATAATTATTATTATTATTTTTATTATTATTATTATTATTATTATCTTTTGGTCCCTACTTGGAACAAGACATTCATTTTCTGTACAGTTGAATTTACTAGCTCATAAATTGAGTACTTTTTAGTTCTTTTAGATTTGATTACATTTTTTACTATGGAACTCGGCAACGATGTGACCAAGATTACTTACTAAATTCCTTTCCAAACATCTGGGTTCTGCGGAAAATTCTTAATCATTTGGACAATGGCGTGTTTAGTGAAACTTATTTTTTCTTTCTCTTGGATTTTATCCACATTTTCAGGTTGTAAACAGAAGTTATGTCAAATAATTTCGATATGATTTATATCTTTGCATGGTAAGACAACCCAAATGATAGTAACACATCTTTCCTTTTAAAGGAAGATAACTGGATAGGAAAGCTAATTTTGAGGAATGATATTTAAATGCAAAAATAATATAGAATAATTTGATGGGTTTGTATTAATTTATTTTTGGATATTGTAAACATGTCTCTTTATGGAACATGTGAAGAAATTTAAAATAGGAAAAATTGTGAGTTAGTGGTAAAACCAAAAAAATTACAAAATTATGAAAAAGATTATAATTTCAATTATTAATGTTGACAAGTTTTTATCACTGATTTGAAATTTATTTTGAAAACACTTACAGAAGTGTACTTGTACTTTGTGCATAAAATTGCATGCATTAAAAATGTATAAAAATGCACGGCTAGTAGAGGACACCAAGATCATCATGCGAGAATGTGAATGCACCATGTAACATGTCTACAAAAAGGAAACTTATGCATTGATGCACTAGCCAAGTTGGGAGCGGATCAACCCGAGGAAATTCTGGTGGTGAATGAATCACCAATTGAAATTAGAAGCCTTTTGATGTATATGATATGATAGGATTGTCTAGGGAACGGGCTTAGCCCTTGTTTTTCCTTTTGTTTTTCCGATGTATGTTTAAAAAAATTGTATAAACATTTCAAGTTTCGTAACATATATCCTTAGAGATTGTTTGTTTAGACGGATTAAATAGGGGCAAATTATAATACAATGGACAGTTAGTCTTAAATAAATAGTTTCTGAACTATTTAGCTAGAAATGATGTGTATTTAATTATTAGTCCAACCTTTACTAAACTAACCAAATGATGAATTAGTAAATTTATTGGATATGAAATCTAATCCCACACCTCAATTCCATGAAGCAAACAACCCTTTAGGATAAGATCATAAGACACATTAATAAGGTTATTTATTTTAAATTAGAAGATATGTTAAAATAATTTATTAGTTAAAAAAATGTTGCTAGTTTTGGGTATTCCAATATTTATCCACTTTGTGTGTGTTAAGGGGGAGAAGTAATAGTAGATGCGGAAAAGGGATGAACCGATGGCAATGGATTAATAAGAGGAGATACAAATTGTTTTAAAATAAAGAATTTGAAACCTTGGGTTATGTAATTTTACTAAAGATTTATATATTATTAGTATTTAATTATGTAAAACATTAACAAATCTATTGTAGTCTAAGTCGGTTGGGATACTCAGTTCTCACCCGAGAGACCCCGGTTCAAGACTTGGTAATGGAAACTCATTTAGTGTGTTTGATTTGAGGTTTTTGGAAATTGAATTTTTTATTTTTTTGTACTTTTTTGTTTTTAGTGAATATTTTTAAAATTTTAAATATTTTTTTTAGTTTTTTAGATGCACCTTACTTAGATGTATCTAAAAAGTAAAAAATTTGTGAAAAAATATTTTAAAAAATTAATAAATATATAAAAATATAAAAAATGTACTGAATTCTCGTTTTTTTTTTATATTTTTGGTATTTAGTGAATTTTGAAAAGGTTTTTTTCATAAATTTTTTACTTTTTACATATATTTATGTTAGGTATATCTAAAAATTAAAAAAAATTGTTAAAAATATTTAAAAAATTCATTAAAAACAAAAAAACACGTAAAATAAAAAAATAGAATTTTCTGAAAACTATTTTCAGAAAAACGAAACCAAACAAATTATTGCTGGTTTTGGGGTTATTTTTCATTGGCCGCTGCTTGCAAATGCTATGCATTAAATAAGCCAATCTCACTAGATTGCTACTAGAATTGAACTAGTAGATATTCATCGGCTCGGACACTACATAATAACAAGTTTTGGGTCTATTTAATTTTGGTCCAACTCTAATATTGGGCTTCTACATCTATCCAAATCTGATCCCAAAGTTAATTATAAATTCTAAGCTCAATATTGGGTTGTATGTGTTAAAAAAAAAAAATTAAAACATTCTATAATTAAATTCAATCACACATTATATTTGTTAAATAAATATGTTGACATAATTATAAATTGAAAGATTTTGTATATAAATTGAAAATTTCTTAAATAAATTCAATCACATATCACTAGAGTTGTGCAAAATATCGCTAAAACCGCACGGATCCGCATCAATTCGTATCCACTTTATCCGCTAATTGCCGTTTAAGTTTTAAATTTTATAATCCACCTTCAAAACCGTTCCGTTCCGCTATAGTTAATACGTATATATATTTTAATCTATAATGAAATATCAAAGTAAAAATAAGTGTGAGAGATATTTAATATGTTAAATTTATTACAAATTAGTAGTTACGTATTTGAAAAATATTATGTAAAATTAGTTTGTGTCATATATATAAAAAATTTGTGTTATATATGTGAAATTTATTACAAATTAGTGTTATATATTATGCAAAGGCTTAATAGTTGGTTAAAATATTTTTCAATCCGCCGCAAACCGCTCAAACCGTAATTTGCCAATCCGCTAATCCGCCATTTAGTTTATAATTTTACTCTCAAATTACCCGAACCGCACCGCGCACACCCCTACATATCACTATAAATATGAGTTTCAATAAAATCAATAAAGATAAAATCTAGATCCCCTAAATTTTTTTAATATATTATGATTTATTAATTTATTTATTTATTTAATAGCTGGCCAGGTTGAAAATATTAATTTCAAGCCCAAGCTATTATTATATTGGGCTGAAAATATTGATATAATCTGGTCCTATAGGCAAACAATCTTCTCAAACCTAGGTTCGGTTAACCAACGGATCGATATCTACCCCTAAATTAAATGACCAGATAAAGTCTATTAATGAAAGAAAATCCAACTTATTATCTTAATGTATCTTTTTAAGAATTATAGAGATTGACATGAAACACATGTAATTTTTAAAATATTATTTTAATAGATATTTTGTTTTAAAATGTTAAATGCAGATACTATCAAGTCACTACAATGGGGGTGTTTGTTTTAGCTTTTCAGAGTCAACTTATGACTTTTAGTTTTGAAAAAGTTATTTTAGACTGTTTGGTTACTTATTTCAAACAGCTTCTGATTCTAACAGTTTATTTTAACTCAAAAAAGCTGATTCTGAGAAGCTGTTCACCCTTGCTTCTGATTATTAGCTTTTGCTGTGGACATGTTAATTTATGGTTATACTCTTAAATTTTTTTATTTTTTATTTTTTTAAAAATAGAAAAAAACTTAAATGGACTATAGATTATTATTATTATTTTTTATGAGAAATGTAGACAAACAAAAAATAAAAATTAATTGAAAAAGCTATTTCACAGGTTATATACCAAACACTACTCAGCAACTTAAATCTATAATTCAATAGCTACACCAAACAGATTAACAACTTTTGATTAAAGTCATAATCTATAATTTGTTAAGTTATAATCTATAAGCTGTTTTAATAGTTATACCAAACGGGGCCAATCAACCCTAACAAGTAATAAGTTTTCTTCTCATAAAATGATTGAGACCAAAGATGGTGAAATGCTATGAACTCATGAGAATATAAGATCAAAAATAAATAGAACATTATGTTGTTCATATGTTCCAAAGACTGTGTCATATTGTCTACCTACAATTGCTAGACAAAAAGAGTCATTGTCAATAAAAAAACAAGTTCGTTTTTGCGACTTTATGATCAACGCCTTGAAAATGGAATGTCATGTTTGGAAAATTATTGAACCCTCTTGGCAAACCATAACAAAGAAGTTAGTTATAAACTCTTTTGGGTTTAAATTGACTAAAATGTCTGATAAATGCATTTAAAACAACATTATAAGCTTGTTTTCTAATAGAACTGACTGTAAATCCCTTGTCAATAATGCAGCCTCCAACAAAAGTTCTCAATTTGAATCCAAGTCGATATCCTCCAATGCTTATATCGATTAAATTCAATGTCTACGTATTATCCATTGGGCATGGCAGAAATGAGATTTCTTGTATATTTCTTGTTCCACTTCTAACAATGTCATTTCCAAATCTTAAAAATGAAGTTTTCGTAGGAGAAGTAAATGCCGAAAAGCAATAAGAAAAACGGTTCATGACTCGATTGCCTAATTAGTTTATGAAAAAAAGAAGAGATTGGCTCATTCCCAAAATACCAGCATCAAGGATTCATCCCTAGAAAAGCCTTGATTTTTATTTCCACAACCGAAAACTATATCTCTTCCAGGTTCAATGACTGAGTGTCGAATTGGTAGGTGAAAGTCTCAATGGAGAGACTGTAAAGAGCAATTGGGGGACGGATAGTATTGGGAATTTCTAATTCTATTTTCATTTTTTTGGTGATCAAGCATGAACATTGATTTTGAAGACTTTATTTTTGTTCAATTTTTTTTTTACAAATTAAAGTTTTGTCAAAATTATATAATGACATTAATCTTAATGAAGGGTGTCCAGGTAATTATGATTTTACATTAGGTGACTACTTTTTTTTTTTTAGATGGTGTAATAAAAAGAAACAAGACTACACCAAGACAACAGCCTCGCTGGCTACAAGCACTTATAATTGAGATGGAACTTCTTCCATCCACACTTGCATATTGCTACTATGCCTTGCCCTCCTAGCTAACTCATGAGTCAACATGTTATCCTTTCTATTCACATGGGTAGCCTTAAAATGAAGAAAATGTTTACATTTCA